TCTCGCTCTCCTAAGTGAATTTAGGTCCTTACTTGGCATTCCAACGAGTCTTCACTAAAGGGAAACGGCTATGAATCATTCTCATGACCTCTCAGTCCATGGTCACTACGGTTCTTCCACGAAGTTGAGGCTCTTGTGGAACTCGATCTCTTCGAGTGGGATTTCAATAATCTCGTCGGATCGATACTTTTTTCAAGTCTGAGACGTGAAGAGTAGAATGTACGTTATTAAGCTCGCGGGGTAGCTTGAGTTTGTGAGACACAAGGACGATTATGGTAAGAATCTCAGAGGTCCTAACTATCTTGAATTTAGCTTTCCACGCTTTACAAAGCGTATTAAGCCTTCCCAGAGTGAGACTTCCAAAAGAATTTTGTCTCTCACCTGGAGTTCCAAGGGTTTCGCTCTCTTGCTTCTCTTCCCAGTCAAGGGTGTGACAACCCAAAATTTCCATTCTGAACAAACCATATGAAGTCAACAGAAGTTAGAACAGTTACAGTGAATTTCCATACTTTTGGGTATAAGTTTGAGTATTTTAGGGTTTACACTTAAGGAGATATCAGGAGAGTGGATGCACTAGGGTTTTGTGCAACTCTGTTATTCCAAAACTCTATGATATTAGAGTTCATTTCGTGAATAAAATATTTTCTGCCAAAAATCCCAGGATTATATATAGGATTCTGAACCATATTTATTCATTAGTTACATTTCTAACTAGAGAAAAGATGGATTCTCTCTAACGGATCTTCGGCTTTTCATCCCAAATCGTGAGTACTTCTATCTAGTTGTATTATATAGCTTAGATTGTGCCTAATAACATCAAAATCATAACAAAACAGCAAGATTTGAGAGTTTACCACCCAAAAACACTTGGGGAGTAAATTCTTTTATAAAGGGAAAATGGTACCTAGTCCCTTCCTTAAGTAATGAAACTAGTTTGGACTTGTACACTAATGAGTTTAACGCTGGAAAACAACCTTAAAACACCAAGTAAATGGTGTTCATGGACCAAGATCTTCTTGGACCGTGAACACTAAATTTAGGGCCAAAGAGTGCCCAATGTCCCTCCAAACTTTGGAACTAAACCTAGAGACTAACCATGGCTTGTTTAGACATCAAAAACATTAAGAATCAAGGGCTAAAAGGGAGTTCACGGCCAAGGATGTTGTAACATCCGAAAAATACAACCAATTTAAATTTTTCAAATCATCCTGATTTTCATTAAATTGTTTACAAAAAGGTTTTCAATACAAATCATTTAGAGTATTCCCATAATCACATTGCTACAAAATCATGAGGAGCGGTACGATCGCGCCTTCGCCTTGCCATGGTCTCCTGAAGAACCTGAAAAACATTAAACCACAACTGTAAGCCCGAAAGCTTAGTGAGATACCCCCAAAATACCAACCACGTATACGCCCTTCCAGGCTGCGACCTTCCGGTTCAAAACATATAAAACATGTATAACATAACAGAACATAGAACAACCATGCATAACGGTCTACTGTGTGATTGGTCCGCCATATCGGGCCTTCAGTCCATCGGATCCATCCTCCAGGTCTAGTCATGTCCTTCGAGTCTACAGTGGGGTTGGTCCGCCCGCATCGGGCCTTCAACCCACCTGGTCCACTCTCTGGGTCTACAGTGTGACTGGTCCGCCCGCATCGGGCCTTCAGTCAGCCTGGTCCACTCTCCGAGCCTCAGCACATCTGGTCCGCCCTCATGGGGCCTACAACCTATCCGGACCGCTCGCTGGGCCTTCGGAATAATTGGTCCGCCCTGGGTATCTTGGCCTACAGCACAAAGCAGGACCCGCCTCAACCCATCTCTAGTCCAAACAACCATGTGCACAAGACATACAATCATATAATAGTCATAGCCAGCAAACCAAACAAACAGATCACATAGCATATCATTACCCTACCCAGGTTACCGAGTTAACCGGTCACTAGCATAGCATCACTTTATATATATCGGGGAAATGACCTTAACAAGGTCTCCTAGCATGTACCATCCTAGCTACCAGGATGCAGACACATCAAACAATAACATAATAACCATATCCGAATCTCAATCCAATAAAGGGCCGGCCTTGGTGCCTTAGACCCTGTTGATACAGTGAGGATAACTCACCTCGAAACTGTCGGCTGAAAGGATAAGATCCCGCTGCTCCGAACTCTAACACGAACTCCTCCACTGAACATCAAAACATACAACTCAATAAATACCCTTAATTACCAAAATACCCCTGGAAGACAACTGGTCAACCCTGGACAAGTCAAAGTCAACCCCTGACTGACCCTACTCGCCGAGTCAACCCGATGACTCACCGAGTCCTTATGCTCAGAACTTCCTTCAATCAGCGACCCAACTCGCCGAGTCGCCCCAAGACTCGTCGAGTCCAACAACTCTGAGTCCACTCACACCCAACTCACTGAGTCATCCCTTGACTCACCGATT